AACAGAGAGATGTACCTGCCAGCTCGGCAGGGAAGATGTTTTGCTTTTCATTAGATTTATATTCAGTGTCCTGGAATGAATGTTGTGGGATTGGTGAAATCATAGTGATTGAAGTTGTGTTCGTTTTCATTTATTTGTCTTTATTTTTTCAACATGTAAAATATATTATTATGAAATTGAAAAGCACAGATTGAAGAAGTTTTGTGAGAACTTTAAGCTTATGTAATCTTGGTAAAACCCTTTAAAAGAAATAATGCAAACACATTCTACTCTTAAAGTTACGAGAATATTGGACCATGACTACAAATTGCTAGAGAGCCTCCAAAGCCCTTGGGAGGGGGCAAGTGCAAGTGAGAGACCCTGAAGTTTATACTTTGTAAGCTTATAAATAAATCCATCTTAGTTAGAAAGAATGCCCACTTTGAGAAAAGCTCTAGTTCTTCATTTCTACTGTAGTAACCATTTTTATTTGTCCTATCCATCTAGTATTCCCTTTCTCATAAAAATTATAAGTAAACATCTGTGTATATTTGTAGCTATAAACTGCTTCTTGCATTAAAAGAAGCTTACTGTGCAAGAGGTTTCAAGAAATTCATGGAAAAAAACAGAATTAAAAGATCACAGAATTTTCCACAAATCTTTTGAAGCCCCCACATATATACACTGGTCTGAGTTTTAGTTTTTCACTAAAAACTAAAAGCATACCTATGTTGTGTGATTTCATTTTAATTTATCTGTGTATTGCATTTCTTTCTCATTTGTTTATTGTAAGGTGGAGCCTAGTATAATCAGTTGATCTATTTATTCTTTTATAAATTGATAGAACTATGAGTTGTTTTTAATCTTTTGATTACAAATACTGCTGCACTGAATACCCTTGGGCATTGGTCAAATAAGATTTTGCAGTTGATCTTTGGCATAGAGTCCTTCTGAGTGGAATTTCTGGATCAGGTAATAAATGCATATATAATTTGTATACAGTCTGACCAAGCTCCCTCCTTGTGCAAATGTTTGAGAGGCTCTCTCACCAACAGGGAGCGCTTTCCTACTTTCGGATGCCTGCCCTCTGAGAGTGAGACGTGGTCTCTCAGTACAGGAAAACTCCATCTCTCCTACTTGGAGTCACATAGGTGACTTTTTCTATGGAATTTCAGTGTGTTCCTTTTTTCCCCCTCTCAGAGGTCTAGTTTCTTTTTCTTTGATTTTTAGGAGTTATTTAGCTGGTGGAAATATTATCCTCTTGCTAGTGATGGAAATTGAAAATAATTTCTCTACTTATATTGTAAGCCAATATTTGATATTTTCAATTCTAAATCACATTTGGATAGTTTGTGATCTTTCATTCACTACTTTCACATTGTCTTTGGTTATAGTTAAAGAGAAAGTTGTTTAAACAATCTTTTAAAAATAAAACATTTTAAAGTTCTTTTAGAATTGAAACATGGGACACAGAATTTCATTATACTGCATATTCATTTATCCCTATTATGCATGTTATAGCTACATTTGTCACAATTAATCAATATTGATGTATTATTGTAAATTGATTTTTGTTGAATTGATCAGTAGTTTTTGGTTTGTTGTTTATTTCCTTTGTTATTGCTGAGCAATAGTCCATTGTATGAGTTTAACAAAACATGTCTGTTTACCTACTGATGACTATTTGACTAGTTTTTAATGCATAAAGCTGTTATGAACATTATCTAAAAAGTATTTTGTTACAGGTAAATTTTTCATTTCCCCCAAATGAATTTCTAGGTGTATGATTTTTGTGTCATGGCATGTAGAAAGCCTATGGATATCTATATGTAAAGTTGTCTGTGTATATGCACCTGCTCATAGGTGAATATGACATTGTATATATGACTTTCTCTATTGTTAAGTGGTTTGACCATTTTCCAGTTCAGCCTACACAGATGGCAGTTCTAGTTCCTCCATGTTCTTACCAGCTTTCAGACTGTCGGCCTTTCAGTTTAGTTATCTAGTGAATGGGTAGGAGCTCCCGGGTAGCAGACATGCGTATGTGCTAAACCATCTGCTTCCAGAAGGCTGTCGCCTTGAAAGGCTCATGGATTGCGATTCTACTGTGACACCCCTGGGGTCCCCACGTGTTGGAATTGACTAAAAGGCAGCTAACAAAAACGAACCGGTCCATCTCAGTATTGCTTTAATTCTGATTTTCCTAATGAATAATGGTGTTGTACCTCCTTTGGTGGGCTTTCTTGAAGAATCATGACTCTACTATGAAGTGCTTGTTAAAATCTTAAGTCCAGTTCTAAACAGGGCTACCTCCTTATGGACTTGTAAGAGTTGTTTACACATTCTGTATAGAGAGTCTTGTTTAGTTATATTGAAAATATTTTCCCCTGGTTTGTGGCTTGTCTTATTTATATAACAATGTCTTTATATAGCAAGCTTTAATAATGCAGATTTTTTCTGCAGTTCAGCAAAATGTTCACCACTAAATTCCATTTAAGTATTTTGTTAGTGGTATACTTTTCATAGGTAACTTTCATAAAAGTCCATTTTTCTATTATTATTGTAATTTTTACTAGAGGAAGGGGGCCACAAGGCAAACATTCCTTAGGTCGATGACAGTCATAAGGTGGCCTGACATGCCTCTCTACAAGTCGTAGTTGCAAATCTCATGAAAGAGGCAAATAAAAAATTAAACTACTTAGGTGAAACTTCTGGGTCAGTAATGACAGGAATTGAAATTATCGATACTTCTTTTTAGATAAATGACCCATGTTGCAAAATACATGCTTCCTTCTTTGTGCCAGGGTCTTGCTTTTCTCTCAAATATTACAGATTATCCAAAATATTTTTAATTAATTGCCTTGGCTTGTTAGAAATTGGTGATGGGAATAAAGATTGAAGACAACTCAGCATTTTATTAATTTTATGATTTCCCCCCAATATTTTCATCTCTGTTCTTTCCTCTTTGATCCAGTCGCACAATTAAAAAGAAATTAAAATCACTCTCTAAAATATCTAGAGAAGTTCTTGAAGTCTTCTTTTTAATTTTATTCTTTATTCCCTTTTTCCAATTCCTCCATTTCCTTCATGCTGCATTTTCCCTCTCATGCACATATCCACACTGACTGATTATACTTTGGGCTTGTCTACTTGCATGCCTGTTCTTTGGAATCTTCATTTCAGTTCTGTATGAGGTGTGCTAACTATTTCTTGGTTGCTTCACAGACTGCTAAGCGACTCAATTTGTTCCTGAGGCGGCGTCTTATGGTAAAACCTGTGCTGAATGAGGCTGCTCATGCTTTGGATGGCTGCAAAGATAGCCTCGCTCGTTTTTCTTCCAGTGAATGTATTTCTGAGGGGACTTTTTACAGGTTCCTAGTCCTTAGGCCTCTGGACTATTTCATACTATTTCTGGAGTGGAAGCTATGGGTCCTCTTCAGAAAATGAACACAAACCACGTAAACATTTGCATACATTTTCAGAAGGGTACAAACCTACCTAAGGAATCCAGGATAAAGAATTTGAGATGCAAAAACTCATTTAAACAGATGCTGCCCAAAAACTCATTAAACAGCAAATAGATATTTCTGAGAACAAACCAACTGTCCTTAAACAAAGCTAGGCATATTGCCATTAGCTTGATTCCAACTCATAGCACCCTGGAAGGAGAGTAGAACTGCCTCATAGGGTTTCCAAGGCCTTGACCTTGAATGGAGCAGTCTGCACATCTTTCCCATGGGAGGTTCATTCCCATGGGAGGTTCAAACTGCTGCCATGTGGGTTAGGAGCCCAGAGCTTCACTGCTGAACTGTCAGGGCTCCCTAAGCAAACACACACACACACACACACACACACACACACACACACACACACACTGCAGATCATCATCTTAATGTCTTCCCTAGAGCCACTTTTTTTAAACACACACACACACACACACACACACACTGCAAATCATCATCGTAATGTCTTGCCTAGAGCCACTTTTCTTTAATGTACTTTTATAATGTTTAATTATATGTAGCAATGTAATCAGATTTATTGTTGTTGTTGTTACCCTAGATGACTTCCAGCCATTTTCATTTATGGTTATTTACAGTTGTTGTTTTTTAATTATTTTTTACTTTACACTTTATGGTGAAGACACAACATACGGATACAAATTGGGTTTCCTAGAGAGCCTTTACCTTTGAAAAGAAGGAACATAAATATTCCAATCTTAACTAAATAGTTAGGAAAATGGAGCCTTTTTAAAAGTTGTTTTGACCACTTTTTAGTTCTCAAACACTCCGAGCATAACTCTGATTATAGTTATTTCGTTTTTTAATTTTCATGTTTACCATTTTTTCAACCAGACCCACTCTTGGTGGATCTATATTTAGCTTATCAGAACAATAAGAGCACTTTTACATTATGCGTTAATTTAAAAAAGCAAAAACTGGATATGACTATCACAGACTTAGGACAAATGGAGTGTTATTTTCCTTTCTAATTTAATGCTTTACTTACATTTAAGAGAATGAGGACATTTTCTGCCTCGACTGGTTTACACGATTTTTGTAAATACCATAAGATATGATTATACGGCAGTGATTTTCAAGAATGCCAATGGTTTATTCTATTTCCTTTCCTCTTTTCCTCTTTAAGTGATAAATATTTGAATAACATGATAGTCCTAGTGATCTCAGGTTTTCTTGGTTTTAGGAAAATTGGGGTAAATATACAGCTTTTAATTGGGGTACAGAAAACGGTGGCAAAAACAGTGAGTTACTGCATTTTGCTACTTAAGCTCTAGACTCTCTGAATTTTTTGTTTATTCATTTTCTACCCATCTTCTCCTGAGGATTGGGAGCAATGGCAGTTACTCTGTTCATAGACTTCAGATCAAAGAGGGAGTTGATGTCTTATTCACGCACAACCGCTCCACATCATTCCCTGTCATAGGATGTTCTGGCCTGATTAAAGTGAGAAACAGTACAGATTGCCTTTGCGCTTTTAAATAAAGGCCAGGCGTGTGTACAAGTGCTCTTATTGTTCAGACAAGCTAAATATAGATCCACCAAAGAGTGAGAGACGTCCACTTATGTATCTATATGAATAATTCTATATCTTACTGAGGATCCATTGCAAGTGTTAAATATACTGCACACAAACTCTGAAGCTCAGGCAAACATGTAACCTCTCTTTACTGAAAGTGTCGCGGTGTTTTGCTTTGCCATTTTGAAAGAGAAAATCATGGAAACTTGAACTTGTTGTGATGCCTATTACACTGAGAGAAATGCTAATCAAATGTAGACAGTATTGGTTTTGAACTCACCTGGGAAACTGATGCAGAAGGAAGCTTTGCATGAGAGCAGCTGGCAAGCTACCTGCTTTCTAATTCATAACTGCGCCTTGATTTCGGTCTTAACGCTTCAAAAAGTGAATTAAAAAATGAAAATTTTATGAGAACACAGAACAAGTATTAATCACCAATTGTTTTTCTTATAATGTGATTCTAATCAATCAGGCTCTAATTAATTATGCCCATCAGGGTTGTGTAGAACAATCAATTCTTTTGTTGACTCATGGGTCATGCTGTTTAATAAAATAAGAAGTCTATGTGAATATATATTTCTAGATGAATGTCTTTGATTTTCATTATATATTTTAATATAGTTGTAGCATTTTAATTGTGTGTGCATGGAATGAATATGTTTAGCTGTCTCCTGAATGTTGTTGTTTTGTCGATATATGTCTCACCTCAGTGGAAGTTTCACATTTGTCTTGACTGAAAACATTGGTTGATGACACAATTGTGGATGATGCTTTTTATTTTTTTACAATGGGAGACTAAGACTGCAGTTTGAAGGTGCACCATTTATGTCTCCTGCAGTTTAAAAAAAGTGCGCAGAGTAAGGATTCTGTCTACTTCCGAGATGGGCTCAGGAAAATTGATTTTGTGCTTTCCTATGTTGACGACATAAAGAAAGAAGACTTAAAGGTGGTAAGTGCTCCGCGAGTGAGAAAGAGGACTAGTGAAAAGAACACATCCAGTCGTCAGCGATAGGTGCTCCGCTGGAGTGCTGTCCTGTAAGTCAGAGGCTCCTGGAGTGATCCTGAGAGCTCGGGCAACATGAGACTCAGAGTGTGAAACCTCTGGAGACCAACTTCTTTTCCTTGACTTCCAAGGAGCCGACCTATGTCTGACAGCTTTCTGTAGCTCTTCCACGGGAGTGTGCAATTTGAGATGCGTGTCAGAGTGTAGTCTTCATTTATACAATTTTCAATTTGGGAAACTTACAACTAATCGGCCTTACTGAAATAGACTTTATTTGATGCTCCATAGCCTTATCATATTTTATTTTTGTTATACCATCACATATCATTTGGTTTTTAAAAGTATGTCTCCATCTAATGTGCCTTCATCTTTAACATGTGTCCATTATTCCAAGACAAGGGTTTGACCATAAGAAATGCTCACTAAATGTTTGATATTTGAAAGAGTGAATTGAATTATCCTACACACATTTATTTATATTCAAAATCTGAAATAAATGTCATGTAAACGTTTTTACAAACTATCATTATTGTCCCCCAAAGACCATGTACATAAACAGTTCTGCCCTTTTTCCATCCCTCTCTTAAGATACCATTCTACCAAACTTCTGAACGTCACGGCCCATCATCATCTTCATTCACCTCTTTTCTGACTGTCCTTTTCAAACCTGACTCCTCATTGGTTTGTAACTTCCTTCTCCTACACCTATCAAGTAGCAGGGCTTCCCTCCCCCAACCCCACCCACTTACACCAGTGGTTCTCAACCTGTGGGTCGCGACCCCTTTGGGGGTCGAACGACCCTTTCACAGGGGTCACGCAATTCATAACAGTAGCAAAATTACAGTTATGAAGTAGCAACTAAAATAATTTTATGGTTGGAGGTCACCACAACCTAAGGAACTGTATTAAAGGGTTGCGGCATTAGGAAGGTTGAGAACCACTGCCTTACACAATCCTTTGCTGGAGATATGGTAAGTGCCTACCCCCTACGTAGTTTATTGTTGATTGCAATGCACTTACCCACACTTCTCCCTAAAATTCCTGACTGCTAAGCCTAATGCTTTGTTACTGTCATCTTTGGAATCCCAGTGTCACCCCTTTAACTGTTCAAGAAGTTTAGCTCCTGGATCCCTCTCACTTTCTCCAACAATACTCATGTTCTGAATTAGATGATTTCTGTGCATACATAAATTAGCTTGATCCTCTGACCTCTTTCTTGAACTGCACCCCCTTTTTTAATTACCTTAGCTAGTGCCCCACCTCAGTCAATTTACTTGTCCTTGGAGCTTGCCATTAGTATTAACTGCACTCCCTTTATAGTCTTTGCCATGCAAGACTTTCTGGTCTACTGCTTACTTTTGTCTATACCTCCAATCCTTCATTCCCACCGGGACATTTAGCACCAATATCATGGTACCTTTTTGCTCCTTGTATACCTCTTTCCTGTCTTTGTTGTCATTGCTAGTGGTTGTTCAGTCCCCTCCTGACGCATGGTGATCCCCACACGATGGATTCTTGCTGTGACGTCCATTTTGACTGAGAGCAACCCCATTTAAAACAAGAAAGCATTGTGCAGGCCTGCATCATTCATTGCTATGCTTCAGCCCATGTGGTAACCATGGTACTGATGAATCTTCTTGTGATTCTTCTCGGTTTCCATTGACCGTTGACTGTACAAGGCAGCAGGTCCATCTCCAGTAAGTTGCCCCTCCTAACATGTCCAGAGTAACTGAGATAATGGAGCATCCTAGCTGTACTTCTTCTGAGGCAGATTGATGTTCTCCTGGCAGTCCATTCATATATTAGTCATCCTTGCCAGCACCGTCCCTCATACGCATTAATTCCCCGTCCACCCTCTTCATTCACTGTCTTCCTTTTATATGTATATGGGGCATGTGAACGTGCCATGGTTTAGGTCAGATGATAGTCCTCAAATGATGACTTTGCTTTTCAACACTGTACAGAGGTCTTGTGCAGCAGATTTGCCCAGTGTAATTCATTCCCCCATCTCTTGACTGCTACTGCCATGGTCGTGGTTTCTCGATCCAAGTGAAACGAAATTCTTATCAACTTCTATCTTTGTTTATCATGATGTCACCTATTGTTCAAGTCATGAGGATTTTCATTTTCCTTATGTTGAGCTGTAATTCATACCAAAGGATATATTCTTTGATCTTCAGTAAGTGGCACAAATATGGATCTCTTCCAGTTGGCTACCTTGTAGCTACCTTCTAAGTTTCTTGGCTTAAATCAGTCAGTGGTTCCAGTCTTACATCCATTGTTGAAATATCTCAATGGATATCTGTGTTAGTCTGGGTAACTAGAGAAACAACTTCATAGACATTCATATATATGTCTATAAGAAATAGCTTTATATACAAGAGGAATTGATTTTTGAGAAAACATCCCAGCCCTGTCCAGATCAAGTCCCAAAGTCCGATATCAGCCCATATCTATAAAGTCCTCTTCAGACTCACAAAACACATGCAATGATGCCGAATGCAGGAAGATCACAGGCTAGTGTGTGCAAAGTCTTATGGGTCCAGTGGTAGCAGAAACATCTCAGTGCTGGCAGGGGTATCCATGTAGCTCTTCCAGTTCCCAAGGCATGGGGTCTGTCAGCATAGTGCCATGTGTCATGTCAGTAGAGTGTCTCTCAAGGAGTGAGTCTTGAGTTTTGTCAGTAGAGAATCTCCAAGGGAGTGAGCCGAGAGAGAAGTGTCTCCCACCTCCAAGGAGAAAATACTAGAGTTCCTAGAATTCTCAGGAGAAGGTCATGTCCACACAGAGGCCTCATTGGCTATGACCTGATTGACAGACTAGACTCCACCCCGTCATTCCTAATCCTCTCAAGTCCCAGATTGACACCAGATTATGTGACTACTACAATATCTCATCAATTTCTGCCACCTTGTTTGTCATCAATGTCTTCAGTGTAGCTTGGATTTCTTCCTTCAATACCATCACTTCTTGACCATATGCTAAATCCTGAAATAGTTGAATATTGACCAATTATTTTTGATGTAGTAGCTGTGTATTCTTTCCACCTTCTTTTGTTGTGTCCTGTGCATATCTGTTGCATATTTTGTTCATATGCAAAGCAGAACTAAACAAAACCAACTGCCATCAGGTTGATTTTGACTTATGGATTCCTTAAAAATGACCCCTTGAGGCATGCATTTTTTGCTTCAGTTTTCTTTTCAGCCTGAGAACTACCAAATATGCTCTTCTCTTTTCAATATAATACTTTGTTGTCTAGAGCAGAGCACTGACACTTAAGGCTCCACTCTTTTACTGATAGTCAAGCAGTGACCACGTATTCAGTACACTGGCCTGGAATGTAGCCTCATTCTCAGGAATGGTGGTGAGGAATCTACCACTCAAATCCCAGTATCTCTGTCCTTATTCAGCTTTCCACCCATCATGTGCCAGCACTGCTTTTGCAAGAAACACAAAGTGTCATAACTGATTTTACTTTGTATCAGCCAGTGGACCTCTGCTGAGTCTCTAATGATGCCTGGGACTCACCAATATATCCGTGATATATTCATTCTCCCACTCTCCTGTATAATTATTTTTTGACTTCTCTCTTACACCTTCGATTCATCTTTTCTATCTTCAAACTTAGCTGACCACAGTTTTCCACTTCACTGAGAAAGCTGGATCAAATAGAAGTTACATTCAATAAATATCCACTACAAGGGCAAGTCAAAAATAATTGCTACTAGGGTTTCAGTTCATACATGCATGAGTTTATCCCAAATAAAACCCTTTAACCTGTCTCTGTGGTTAGTGGATGGCTGCAGACTATTTCTCTTCATAATGCACCTACTAGAATCTGTTGGGTCAGTTAAATTCAAGGCAGAGATGTCAGTGCATAAGGCTATTGTGACTATTTGGGGGGGATTCTAGCCTTTGTGGCACAGTGGTTACACACTGGGCTGCTAATGACAAAGTCAGAAGTTCAAAACCACCCGCCACCCTACAGGAAAAAGAGGAGGCTTCCTTCTTTTTTAAAGAGTTCAAGTCTCAAAACCCATGGGGGCAGGTCTGCCCTGGCCTATAGGATCACTATGAGTAAGGATCAACTGGATGGCAATGAATCTGGAAAAGGATATTCAGGATAGCTTTTCCCTGTGGGAACTGGAAGGTGTTTCAAGAACATTGAAGATGGCAATGGTGTGAAAAAGCACAACCATGTTCCTGTTCCTTCTTCATTCTTCGACAGTAGCAAGTGTCGGGAATCGCACAGCCCTGATCTTAGCCCTTCAAATTCCTTTTTGTATCTAGAATCCAAAGAACATTTAAAAGACACCCAATTTGTATTCCTTGAGTATGCAAAAACAAAACACAGCAAACAAACCCATAACAAGGCCTGCCATTTTAATGTGGTGCAAGTTGAAGAACACGGAATTCTTGCAGGAAGGGTTAGAGAGGTAGAAACACTTGGATGGGGTGCACAACACCTGGATGGAAGATATGTCAAGAAAATCTTTCACACCTTGATGATTTGTTTAATCATGGTTTCTATGATTGTGTAGCAGTCATTTTTTTTTACTAACTCATATATCTAGCCATCTGCATCTTTTCATGTATGATTCATCTTTCTGCCTGTTAATCATCAAGGGCTTGTTTTCCTTTTGACTGAAAGTCCACTCACTCACGTCGGCATTGGATCTCATACTTTGGTCCACTCTTCAAGAGTCAATACCACCCCCAGATGTCATTATTCACTAGAAGGTCTTGAAAGATGTACTCACGGCTATGAGTTATCACAGCAAAAGGACAAACTGAAGTCAGCTAAAAGTTATGCACATGGGGTGAAATCCAAAGGAAACCAGGTGCAAATTTTCAAGAGTCCTTTAATTTAAATCCTACTTAATATTCTAGCAATGATGTGTATATGTATATATGAATGGTTTTCTTGTACCATAACTTATTAGACACTCAGTTCCCAGACTTTTAAAAAGATGATCAGGTTGCCACTTATCTGTTGTTGGGTGCCACCCGTAGGTCTCAACTGACAGTGGCCCCACCTACAACAGAATAAAACATTGCTTGGGCCTGTGCTCCTCTCACAATTGTTTTGTTTGAGACCTTTGTTCTAGCCCCTCACTCCATCCTTCTTATTGAGCATCTTCTTTTTGCTAACCTTCTACTCTACCAGGCCTGGGATCCTTCTCTAGGTACTGGTCTGTTCTGATAACCTGCCCAGTGCACGTGGAATGAAGTGTCCCCTTCCTCACTTCTAGACTATTCTGGCTGCAATTCTTCCCAGAGCCTTGTGGTTCTGGCAGTGCACAGGACTTTCAATATTCGTCACCAATATCATAAGGCAAATGCGTACATTCTTCTCCAGTTTGTCTTAGTCACTGCCCAGCCTTCAGAAGCTTCTGGGGTAATTGAAAATACTGTGGCTTGAGTCAGGCACACCTCAGTCCTCCAAATGCCGTCGTTGGGCTTCCAAATTTTAAAGGGATCTTAAACAGCAGGTTTACCCAATGCAATACATCATTCGACTGCTACTTTTATGGGCATTGATTGTAGATCAAAGCAAGATGAAATTCTTGACATTATCTTTTCTCAGTTTATCATGGTTTGTCTGTGGGTCCAGTTGTGAGGGTTTTGATTTTCTTTTCATTGAGTTGCAATCTATACTGACGAAGGCAGTCTTTAATTCCCATGAGCAAGGACTTCAAGTCCTCCTTGTTGTCAACAAGTAAGGTTACGTCATCTGCCTATCTCGGCTGTTAATACGCCGACCTCCAGTCCGGATGCCCTGTTCTTCACATCGTCCAGTTTCTAAGCATACAGATTGAGTAGGTATCGTGAAATGACACAACACCTTTCCCGACTTCAAACCACGCCATGTTCCCTTGTTCAGTTTGAATGACTGCTTCTTGGTCCTGTGTGAGCACAAGGAGGTGTTCTGCAATCCCCACTCTCCTCACTGCTATCCATAGTTTATGATCCACACATTTGAATGGCTTTCCATAGTCAATAAAACACAGGTTAACATCTATCTAGTATTCCCTGCTTTGAGTCAAACTACACCTGACCTCAGCAATGATATCCCTCATCCCATGTCCATCTCTGACTCCCCTCGGTATCTCTCGTGACTCCCTGTCACTGTACTGTTGCATCCAATTTTCAATGATCTTCAGGAGAAATTTACTTGCATTTGATATTTGTAATATTGTTTGATAATTTGCATGTTCTGTTGGGTCACCTTTCTTTGGAATAAGCACACATATGGATCTCTTCCGGTCAGTTAGCCAGGAAGCTGTCTTCCAAATTTTTTAGCATAGACTAGTGTGTGTTTGCAGAACTTCATCAGCTTTTGAAACATTCCATTGATATCCTATTTGTTTTCCAGTAATGTCCTAATTGCAGTGTAGGCTTCTTCCTCCAATAATACCTTAGCAATTATTGATAATATGGTCATTGACTATCTCTTGGTCATATGATATCTCTTGAGTGGGTTGAATGTTGACCGATTATTTTTGGTACAGGGGCTATGTACATTCCTTCCACCTTTCCTTCAATATTGCAATTTTATTCTCTTCCTTAAATTATAGTTTGTGCTTTTATTTTTCTTTTCTTGACCATAACCTTCCACATTTAAGAAGTTGTTAGTTCTCCCAGCTTAAAAAGAAAATATGCTTCTTTTTATCCCTATTTTTCTATGAGCCATTGCCCATTTTTTCGCATTCTTACTCATTTTGATCATTCTTTTCTAGGTAAAAGAAAGAACATGGTGATGGAGACTAGGGCAATGCACGCATTAATTTTTCAAGATCATGGGATGGGCAGGGAAACTCATTGAAAGCCATGGATTTGGGGTCTGCATTTCACTGGATAGGAATGAGAAAATTTTTCTGCATAATGGTTATTTGTTTTGCCATAGGACAGAAGAAGAGAATTTGAAAAGAACCTCAGAATATCAGGTCTTGAGTTGGAAATTGAAGACAAAAGGGTAAATGTAGTTGTTAATTTATGCCATGTGTGAAGTTGTAACTCTAGTTTCCTCTTATTTCGGCCTTTCGCTGGATAGACTGTGTGTGGACGGGAGACTAGTACTTTTGTTCCCCAGTGCGCATATCTGTGCTGCAGTTGGTAGAGGCTCTGGTCTGCCTAGCAAGTAGACTAGTGCCCTGAATGTGAGATGATTCATGGAGCACTTTGAAAACAGAAACCCATAATTTCCAACCAGGGCAATAAGGGCAATGAAGACATTGTTGTTGCTACATATCTGTCTAATTTGAAGGCTGCCTGTCATCTATCCTCCAGCTAATTAATTGGAGTGACCTCCAGCACAACCTTTTAAGCCAAGATATTTGTTTCTATTGGATCACTCTGTCAAGATGTTTTTATACCCCCTCCTGTGTACTGGTATTCTACAATTCCCTCTCAAGTTGTTTTGAAAGACCTACTTCATTTACCACCTGCCCAAAGCTCTAGAATACTTTTGTATTAAATCCAACCTCGAGTTCTAATGTATCCCCATTTTTGAACTGAACTAATCAATTCCTATTATACCACACAATTAATAACTTGATGCTTCTCTTTGATAATGAACCCGTATTATCTAAAGTCCATTCTTTATGTGTAGGTTGTGCCTAGAAGCTAAGTGAATATAATGAGTACATTTTAAATTATGTTTATCTCCCATAACCTAAACATAATTCTGAGCTCAGAACTGGTCTCTAACGCTAAATTATTGCTCAGACTACATGGCTTAACTGTGAATTTGGGGCTGTTTACATTGAGTAAACTATAATATAAAGAATATATGTATGCGTCCATATGCATATACAGAAATTTTTTCTCCTTCTTTCTTGCTCTTTCCATATATGTAATACATATATAATTATATAATATAATGATATTGATGCTGCCTTGGTTAAGCTCTCTGCTGCTAATTAAAAGGTTGGTGATTTATGAACACCCAGCCACTCTGTGGGAGGAAAGGGTATATATATGTGTGTGTGTATGTATATCTATATATGTATAAATCTATATGTGTGTGTATATATCTATATATGTATAAATCTATATATGTATATATCTATATATGAGCTTCAAAAATGTTATGAAGAAATGTATTAGCTTTTAATTCTGTTTCTCCATTTTAGAAGCCTACATGAACTTTTAATACAGACACACACACATACATACACTCACGTGCATATATGTATGTTGTATATTTAAACATATAAGACATATGTACATGTATATCTGTGTGTATTCCCTGTATCTTCACTGCCATTGGACCTATTCTAACTTATAGCTGCTCCAAATCTGGTTTCTGTGGGTGTCGGTTTCTTAAGCTTTATGGAAACAAATAGCCTCATCTTTCTCCTGTGGAAAGGCTGGTGGGTTTGAACTGCCCCTCTGAGGTTAGCAGTCCAAAGCTTACCCTACCGTACCACTAGGACTTTGTGTGTGCATGAGAAAGCATGTATATGTGTGTGTATTGATAGATTTAGTATATGCCTTTCTAGAAGTTTTGCTAAACATAATTCAATAAATTGCAAGTACTGAGACATGTTTACTTTTAAATTTTATACGATGTTATCTCTTTAATTTGCTTGGTAATAAGCAGATCAGTAAGTTTTCTGTTAAGTTGCCTTCATTTTATACAGGACTCTGAAGATGGAAAAACATTCTTTGTCAAGATCCATGCCCCTTGGGAGGTATTAGTTACCTATGCTGAGGTGTTGGGAATGAAAATGCCTATAAAGGAGAGTGATATTCCCCTACCTGTTCAAAACCCCTTTAGCTGTGTGCTTGGGCCACTGAAGCTTGACAGGAATTTGAAGCATCCTCATCCTGAATATTTCACGGCCCAATTCACCAGACATCGGCAGGAGCTCTTCCTCATTGAAGATAAGGCAACCTTCTTTCCATCCTCAGCAAGAAACAGAATTGTAGGTAGAGAAAACCTTTATGAATATTCTTTTATGTAAAGGATGCATAACTGTGCACTTTGTACATATTCTTTTCTATTTGATGCTTATAACCGCATGGTTTGGGGGGATAGATTTGAATAAATATTGGGTCATTTGGTACAGGCTTGAAATTCCATCTGGATTACTTGACCCTTGTGACCTCCATACATGCCAAATTATAGTTTACAAATGAATGATTGAAAGTGGGCATAAAGAACCGAAAAGATACCATGCAATACTGGAAAGAGTATTTAACTGGGAGCCATGAGATCTTGATTTTAAAAGAGTTTTGTAAGATGATTTTATAAACTTAGAATTTTTGTATGAGAACCTTAGGGAATTGGAGGAAGAATTATAAAGATGTTTTCTTTTTCTTTTTCTTATATGGAGATAAGATTTGAGAAACTGCAAAACTTTCTTTCCTCATTTGAAGCCATTTGCAGTCTTCTGAATAGAAGTATTTCTTTTCCAGCTGTGACTCCAGGATGTTCAAGCTTATCACTTAGCCTGGTCTCCTAAAGCATTGTGGCGCCTGTCCCACTGTGTCTTTGTGTCCATAGAGGGCTCATTCCCCCATCAGTGGTTATGCAACAAAAGTAAAGAGCTGACATATAATAGACTTTGCAGAGTGCCTGGTACATACTATATGGTCAATAAGGGTTAGTGATAATTACTGATCTTATTCATCATTTATACTCTTATGAGAGATACAATTATTCTATTGAATTCCATAGTATTTTTTTTTCAGTGTTAAGGGAGGAAATATAACCAAGATGGAATTTCATGCATACCCATTAGGATTTTTTTTAATTGCCTCCAAGAGAGAGATTTATATGTGCTCTCTGCTAAAAGTAAACTATTGGTTAAGCTCTGTTTATGCACACACTAACTACAAAGTTTCTTAAGATCTGTAGCTTATGCTGCCTTGAGCAAGGTGTCCATATGGCTGCAAAGATGACCCACCCCACCTGACAACACTCTCAAAACATTGAGTGTAAGATGTTCAAATAAAACTCCTGTGAATAGTGTCACTCAATGAGATAAAAACTGGAAGATAGATATAGACTGTGTGAGAAGACTATTTTTACCATTAACAGAAGAATAAAAGTTTCACTTTGCACCCTCTCTCTCCTGAGCTGTCTGCATTTATGAACAGTTTAGCAGATATTTATGTATATGCATACATTTGTACATATAAACTCAATGATCTAAAATTATATACATACATGTACGAAATATCCCACATGCATCGCCACCATGTCAATTCCAACTCACTGAAACCCTGTAAAACTGCATCGAATTGCCTCCCATGTTTCCAAGGCTGTAAATCTTTACAGAAGAAGAGCACCATATTTCATTCAAGTACAGCAGGTGGTAGATTCAAACCCCTGACCTTTTGGTTAGCAGCTGAGTGTTTGTTTAACCATTGTGCCACCAGGAATTCCATCTATCTCGTAATATCTATGGGTGCCCTGTATAGTGTACAAAGGATCCCTGGTGGCATAGTGGTTCCAAGTTGGGCTGCAGTCCATAAGGTTAGCAGTTCAAAACCACCAGCTGTTCCTATATGGAAAGATGGGGATTTCTACTCAGGCAAACAGTTACAGTCTCAGAATCTCAAATGAGGCAGTTCTACCCTAACCTACAGGGTCGCTGTGAGTTAGCATTAACTTGATGGCAGTGTATTTGGTTAAGTTTTATAGATTGTACAATATCAGCCATGAGCTCCCCTTCCCTTCTTCCAGTAGTCTCTACCCCCTTCTTTAAATGATCTTCTGGACTAAAGTTTGACCTTCCTTAAATCAAGATTTGTTTTCATTTGAGAACACCATACCTATTTATTGCCATCGCTTTACAATAGGTCTTAATATATAGTCTAGTATATTCTTTAACTTGTAACCCCAAGACAGAGTTTTTATTTTAGCGTATCTTTCCTAAGGAAATGATGCAAGCTATGTAGACTAGTTGATGCTGGTCACATTATTTATAAAAATTAAAATTAATTTGCCTAAGGCATGAAATATTTATCAAGATCGAATATTTGTCTATTATTGAAATGAGTGATGGCTAAATTAGACAAAAAATATCCGATTCCAGATAACAACCATCTCAACCAATAACCCTTGAGTGATGACAGATGAAAAGGAGGTAAGGGAAATAAATCTAAAACAGTGCAAATAAGACCAATAGGATGGAACTAAGCTGAAAGTCTTGCCAGGCCAAAACCAGATCAAATGGAATGTGCTGGAATAAAAGAACAAAGAACGCCAAAGTCCTGCTTACATGTGGGAGGACACTAATAGAGGGTTTGAGGAGTCATTGCTGAGATATGTTTTGCCAACTGGGAAACAACCTAAAGTTAATACATTTAGGTATCAGGATCAGGGTCAATATCCATTTTATTCCAGATTTCCGTAACTACATTATTAGCACCGATATGAGCCTCTAGTTGAACTGCTGATGGAACTAGGAATTGCTGCAAAAGGACTCTTGGAGAGCGTAAGACCAGCAAAGCACAATGATTTATGATTCAACTGCAGGGCACTGGGGAATTCTGAAACCCAGGAGCTAAAATAAATGCAAATTTCACATAAACCCACTCATTATATTTTCCCCTGAACACTAAAAAGAGGCTTCCTTCTGGAGTCCTCACCTGTATTTACATTCCGATAAAGTGCACATTGTTTTCACAATTTGAAAATAAACGAAGACAGAAGACTTTGGGGCAATGTGACCGTGTCTCTGTGCTTGTCTTATAGGTTTACTATATTCTTTCACGGTGCCCTTTTGGCACAGAAGAAGGGAAGAAAAGGTTTGGGATCGAAAGACTACTAAATTCTAATGTTTATTCATCTGCTTACCCACTTCATGATGTAAGTATAAGAGTGATTTTTGTAATATAACAAGAACAACTCACTGCTATTAGTCAATACTGACTCATAGGAACCCTGTAGGCAGGGTAGTACTGTCCCTGTGAATGCAACTCTTTGACAGGCGTAGAAAACCTCTTCTTTCTCCCTTGGAGTGGCTGGAGGTTTTGAACTGCTGATCTTGAGTTATCAGACCAGTTCATAACCACTATGCCACTGGGGCCCCCCCCCCCCCCCACTCTCCTATAGTAAAAGGCCAGCTTGTTGGAAGATTAACTCTTCCACTGGCTTCCCTTTAATGATAGCTTGCTAAATTCTTGTTCACATTGAGAAAGTCCCCTGACTTCTTAACACCAAGCTGAGAATCTCACCTACTATTGGAGTTCATTTGAGATAGGTATTACACTTGTACCTGAGCTTTCCTTAGAAACCGCTTGGAAACCAGCTCCTTTAAAAAAGTTATTGTTAAAAGGACATTTTAGAATACAATATTTGAAAATTTCTGTCTGAATTCCTTTCCTCTTTTCTCCTTTCTGAACATTGTAAAGCCATTTACATGCATTCATTCATTTATATATCTGATAAAAATGAACTCACTGCCACTGAGTCAATGCCAGGTCATAAGGCCCCCTTGCCATTTCTGAGACTGGAACTCTTTGGGGATAGAAAAGGCGGTCTTTTTTTCAAGGAGTAGCTGCCTGGTGGTTTCAAACTGCTCACCTTCCAGATCAAAGCCGAATGGTAACCACTATACACCCAACTTATTCCAATATGTGCATAGTATTTTGCTAGTTCTTGCTGAAATAGCCCCGTGAGTGAAACTCAAAGACTAATAATTTGTTGGAAACAAACAATACAACTAATATTCATTTGTATGCACCAACCACAAAAAGTAGTGATGAAGAATTCTGCCAACAACTTCAGTCAGAAATTGATCAAACATGTAATTAAGATGCATTGATAATTATTGGGTATTGGAATACAAAAGTTGGAAACAAAGAGGAAGGAACCGTAGTTAATAAATATGAATTTGCAGATAGAAATAAAGTTGGTGATCATGTAATAGAATCTCGTGGTAAATACCCTTTTTCAACAAAACCATAGGTGACTGTGCACATGTACTTCTCCAGATAGAATACAGAGAAGTCAAATTGACTACATGAGTGGGTAGAGTCGATGGATCAGTTCAATATCAGCAGCTAAAACTCGGCCACAGGCTGACTGCGGAACAGCCGATGAGTTGCTCATATGTAAGTTCAGGATAAAGGTGAAGAAAATGAAAACACGAGAGCTAAGTGATTTTGAGTCTATCCCACCAGAATCTTGAGGACATTTCAAGAATAGCTGCTGCATTGAACATGAATGCTGGGAAACCTGAGAAGCTGTGAGAGTATAAACAGACCATCATTCATGAAGAAAAAACAAAGGTCATTTAAAAAGACAGGAAAGCAAGAAAAAATCCAAGTAGATGCCAGAAGAGACTCTGAACTTGCTCTTAAGCATAGAGTAGCTAAAGCAAATGGAAGAAAGAAGGAAGTCAATGAGCTGAACAGAAAATTTCAAAGGGCAGCCCCAGAGGCAAAGCCAGACATTCCAATGAAATGTGCAACAACTTAGAATTAGAAAATCAAAAGGGAAGAACACAGTCCCCCTATCTTAAATGGAATCAAGAAAAAAATCAAACCTTAAGTTGCAATCTTGAAAGATTCTATGGTCAAAATATTGAATGATGCAGGAAGCATCAAGAGAGGATGGAAAGAATACACAGAGTTACTGCACCAAAGAGAACAAGTCCAGATCCCACCATTAAAGCAGTACCATATGAGCAAGGACCAATGGTGCTGAAGAAAATCAAGCTGTACTGAATGCATTAGTCAAAAACAAGGCTCCAGGAATTGAGGAAACACCAATTGAAATGTTTCAGCAGGCAAAAGAAGCACTGGAAACACTCATCTCTGCCAGAAATTTGAAGGCAACTGCTTGGCCAGCCGACTGAAAGACATTCCGATCTCTGCCTATTTCAAAAAAGGTGAGTCAACAGAATGCTCAAACTATAGAGGGATATCCTTGATATCCCACACAAGTAAAACTTTGCTTAAGATCATGCAACAATGGTTGCAGCATTCCGTTGACAGGGAACTGCCAGAGGTTCAGGCCACATTCAGAAGAAGATGTAGAATAAGGAATATCATTGCTGATGTCAGATGGACATTGGCTGAAAGCAGAAAATACTAGAAAGATGTTTACTTGTATTTCATGTACTATGCCAAGGCATTCAACTATGTAGCTCATAACGAACTGATAGCCTTGAGAAGAATGGGAATTTCAGAACACTTCATGGTGCTCATGAGGAACTTGTACGTGGATCAAGAGGTAGTTGGGGGAACAGAACAAGGGGATACTGCATGGTTTAAAATCAGGAAAGGCGTGTATCAGGGTTGTATCACTTCACCAGACTTGTTCAATAATGTATGTTGAGCGTCTAATCAGAGAAGCTGGAACATATGAAGAAGAATGTGGCATCAGGGTTGAACAAAGGCTTATTAACAAACTATGATATGCAGATGACACAACTTTGCTTGCTGAAAGTGAGGAGGCTGTGAGGAGCTTGCAGATGAAGATCAAGGAGCACAGTATGAATTACAACTCCATGTAAAGAAAACCAAAATCTGCACCACTGGACTGATAGGTGGCATCATGGTAAATGGAGAAAAGATTGAAGCAGTCAAGAGATCAACAGACATGTTGCATTCGGCAAATCTGCTGCTTAAGATCTCTTTAGGGTATTGAAAGGCAAGGATGTTACTTTGAGGATCAAGATGAACTTGACGCAAGTCATAGAATTTTCCATCGCTTCATTTCCATGTGAGAGTTGGGCATTGAATAAGGAAGACCAAAGAAGAATGGATGCATTTGAATTGTGGTGCTGGACAAGAATATTGAAAGTACCATGTACTGCCAACAAGTCTGTCATTGGAAGAATAAAGGACAGAGTGCTCCTTAGAGGCAAGGATGACCAGACGTCATCTTACATATTTTGGTCATATTGTCAAGAGAGACTAGTCCCTAGAGAAGAACATCATGTTTGGTAAATAGAAGGGCAGAGATAAAAAGGAGGGCCCTCAAAGAGATGGATTGACACAGTGGCTGCAGTAATTGGCTTGGTCACAGGAGCAATTGTGAGGCTGGTGCAGGACCAATCAGTGTTTTCTTCTGTTGTGTGTACGGTGGCTTTGGATTGGAGCCAACTAGATGGCCCCTAAGAATAACAGCAATATATACACACAGAAACTGCACGAAGAATGAGGAAGACTACAGAAGATCAGATGCATCTGAATTATGGTATTGGTTAAGGACTTTGAATATACCATAGACTTCCAGAAGAAAGAGCAAATCTGTTAGAAGAAGTCCAGCCAGAAGGCCCCATAGAAGAGATGATATCAAGACTTTGTGTCACATACCTTGGGCATGCTATCAGCAGGGAAGAGTCCCTGGAGAAGGATAACATGTTTGGTAAAAGAAAGGATAGCCGAGAGAGAGAGAACCTCTCAACAAGATAGGTTAATACTGTGGCTGAAACAATGGTTCAAACACAGCTGTGATTGTGAGGATGGTGCAGGAGTGGGAGGATTTTTGTTTTGCTTTCTCCTGTTGCACGTAAGGTTATTATTTGTCAGAGGTAACTCCATGGCACCTAACAACGAGAACAATTGTTGGCAGTAGAAATCACGTGGCTGAAATTGTATACGCTTCTTTAAGGTCATCCTTTGGGACTGTCTTTTGTTCCCATTTTACTCAGCATCACAGCAACACACAAGCCACCACAGTCCAACAAACTGACAGAGAAGTGGGGGGAGACCGAAGAAGAATGGCTGCACTGCATTGTGGAGCTGGAGAAGCACACTGAAAGTCCCACGGACTGCCAAAAAGCCGGACAAATCTGTCGTGGCAGATGTCCAGCCATAGTAGTCCTCAGAGGCAAGAATGGCAAGACTCTGTCTCACGTACTCTGGACGTGTTGTCAGGAGAGACCAGGCCCAGAATAAGGACATCATGTTTGGTAAAGTAGCTGGACAGCGAAAAACAAGCAGACCTTCAACAAGAGGAGTGGACAGAGTGGCTGCATTGATGAGCCCGAAAACAAGAACAATCGTGCCGACGGCGCAGGACTGGGCAGTGGTTGGTTCCTTTGTCCGCGGGGTGGCTGCGAGCGGGAACTGACCCCCACGGCCCCTGAGAACACACAGTGCTGTGCATCTCTAGGCTGTACATATTACATTATGACAAGTACAGAAAGGACATGCCAGATGAAAGGAACAACTCGAGTAAAGCCAATCTCCAACTTTAGTGCTCGAATTTAACAAATCACCTTGCTATAATCTATGAAGAATATATTACACGTGGATGCATTCATGCAGTGTTAAAATATCTAAATGTCGAAGTATAGGGACCGCTAGCCTCCTTCATCAATCTCGTCATGAGAGCAGCGTTCATTTCTTTCTTCGTCTTGTGCTTTGTGCTTCAAACCCTTTCTTCTAGGGCCAATATTGGAGGCCATCAGACCGCCACTCTCCTGTCAATGAAAGATATGTGCTTCATAAGAACTGGGCTCGGCTTTCCTATTTTTACAAGGAGCAACCTTTACATTTGATTAGGTAAGTTTGTTTCTTCTTCTTCTTCTTCACACATCATGAAACTTATTAAAACTCAGTGATGGGATTTTTTATTACAAATGCCATCAATTCCTTGTCTTTTCACTACTGTTTACATTCCATATCCTCTCAAGTTTCATTTATACAAATTGAAATGCAGGATGTTGCCAACATATCTATGAGAAGCAGTAGAACTTGCACAGTGGTTAAGAGGCTAGACATTAGTATTATCGCTACTAGATTTAAATCCGTTTTTCCTGTTAGAGGCCAAGGGCCATATGAACTTGGCCATGTCATAGAACCTCTACGAGGCTCTCTTTTCTCATCCTGAAAATCGAATGAACAGTGCTACTTACTGTATAAGTCTATTTGATTCTCAAATGCTATATTTTTAGCAAGGGGGCTAGTACTTAGTGTTAGCTATTTGGGGATGTTTTTTCTTCACTGCGTGTTTTCTAATAGCATCCTAGATGTTTAAAGATAGCAGAGATAGCCTATATGGATATTTGTGTGTGTGTGTGTGTTGACCTTAGATGTGAAAATCACTGCTCTCTAACTCTATATTCCTCTCAAGCAACTTATTTAACTAAGTACGAATATTTTGGTTACTTGTCCATGCTTTGAGATAATAATGCTACTTATATGGAAGAATTTTGGAGATTCACAAGAAGGATATCTGCTTACAACCCCTTTGCGATTATACGCTGTATTTTTCACTTTTTACTGTAAGTAATATATTATTGGTACGATTCTCCAAATAAAAAATTCTCTAGCTCAAGCTTTCTAACAAAATCCAGACTGCCTTATATTACAGATGTTATATGTTATTTATTTTGCTATTGCAAACATGATTACAATCCTGCTGAGAACAACAGCAAACAAATACCATTATTCCATTCCAAAGTATTTCTATGGGATATTTCAAAGAAGCAAGATTATCACACTGAAGATTTGCATAATTTATATGAAGTCAATTCTTTCAGAGGAGGGAGGGAAAAAAGTGAGGAGCTGATACCAAGGGCTCAGGTAGAAAGAAGATGTTTTGAAAATGGCGATGGCAACAAATGTACAAATGTGCTTGACACAATGGATGTATGTGTGGATTGTGATACAGAGCGGTATGAGCCCCCAATAAAATGTTTGTTTGCTTTTTAAAAAAAGACAATTCTTTCAAAGTTGTCATGTTCTTACACAAATGACTTGTGTTATATGTGATGTTTGGGGCAAATTGTGTAATTCTAGTGCATTTTAGTGTACGTTGACAACTGTTTATGTTACAGATGTGAATTTGGTATTTCCATGGGCACATACGTACAAAATATTTAACTGTCTATAGATGGTATTCCTAAAAGGATGGGTTATGTAGGCCTACCCAGCCATCCAACACTCACTGCAATAGAGTTGATTCTAACTCCTAGTGATCCTACAGGATAGAAAGGACTGGCCATTTGGATTTCCAAGACTATGAATCTTTAGACGAGCACACAGCCTCATCTTTCTCCCACAGAAGGGCTGGCACATCTGATTGTCAACCTTGCAGTTAGCAGCCCAGCAGACAACCTGCGAAGCCACCAGGGCTCCTGTGACCTAGGGATATGGCGCAGGGGAAGATGAGACTTTCTGCTCCCATATTCACAAGCTGGGAGACCCTGTATAGGGTCACTATGAGTCAAAATCAACCTGCCGGCAGTGGGCTTCATTGGTTAGTTTATTTTAGTGATACACAAACACAGTAAGTCTCTGCTTAGTGATAGTTAATATGCTTTTTAGAGCTCATTGTAGCTTACATAGAGCAATTTTTTTTGCATCCTCTCTTTATATTTATTTTCTATTTAACCGAGGCATGCTGCTTTTCTAGTTCAATAGTCAACTGATCTTTCTAAAATAAATTTAAAATATTTTAACAGAAAATTTAATGTGAAAACTAGATAGAATGCTATTCACTAGATAATTAAAGGCAAAAATGATAGTAAAAGCAAAAGAGGCCCATCTAATTAGAAAATAACTTTGAAAACTAAAGGTGTGGTTGAGTGAAATTAGTATTGAATGTGAAAAAAAATGTTAGAATCATCTATTTAGGAAACAGAATGTGTATAGTCTTTATCTTCAAAGTTGCCTTCTTTTTGAGCATCTGTAAAAATTACTGCATAAACTAAGTGCTGCTTTGAAATTATATTGAACATAGAATATGTCATTAGAAGCCCAAAGAGCTCATATATCTACATAAGTATAGGTCTTAATTACTTAGTGGTGTAATAACCAAAACAATACAAGTGAAGGGCTTTAAATAGCATGATTTTATTTTCTTTTGAAAGCTAGAGGTCCAAATCAGGATGCCATTACAGCTGTGAGCCCTGTCCCTCTGGGCTTTGGAGGAAGATCTTTGTCTCTTTTAGCTACTAAAGCCTGGGTATTTCTTGACATTCATTTGACTAGAGACATTATCTTCACCTGACACCTTCTACCACCTACATGGGGATTTCAAAAAGTTCATGGAAAAATGGAATTAAGTGATAAAACTATAAAATATAAACTTTATCTCAACATAATCTTCATCAAGGTCAAGGCAGTGTTGTAAGTGGTGAGACCAGCCATTTAATCCATCCTTAAAGAGCTACGAATCCTGGGATCTGAACCATGTCAGCAGAATCTTCTTCAAATTCTTATCTGAAGAACAATGAGTGACCTTTATAGATCTGTTAAGATTAAGAAAACAAAAAGAATTCAGAAGGAACCAGATCAGGATGTGAGGTGAATGACGAAGTTTCCCTCCTATTGAAATCCTTGCACAATTGCCCTTGTGTGATGAGAAGGTGAGCAGGAGTGCTGTCTCAGTGGAGGAGGGTCTCCGGTGACATTTTCCACTTTGACTTCCTCAAAACACTCTCATGGTGAAGCACACATTCACATTCTTTAGCCCTCCAAAAAGTCAACAAAATTCCCTTGAGCGTTCTAAAATCTTGTTGCCATTGCCTTTGGTCTTAACTGGTCTGCGTTTGCTTTGACTGGAACTCATTCACCACTTAGCTGTCGTGGCTTTGCTTGTGCTTTGCCCTCAGCATTGCACTGGTAAAGCCACGTTTCACGTCCTGTACAAATTCTCCCAAGATTTGCTTCAGAATCTTGATCCCACTTGTTTAAAATTTCCTTCAAAAGCTCTGTTCTTCTCTGAAACTGATCCAGGTGAAAGTTTTCACATCTATCCAGTAGAAAGTTGAATCAAATTTAATTTTTCAGTCAGAACTGTGTACTTGGAACCAAAGGAGGTATCTGTGGTGCTGTCATTCATTCCTGCTGTTGATCATTGGCTAGTCCTCTTCAATCAGGATGCCGACAAGATTCCTTTGTACCTTCCAAATTGATGTGGATGGTCTGCCACTTGGGGCATATCTTCAATACTGTCTCATCCCTTCTAAAAATGAGTTATCTATTTGTAAACTGCTGATTTCTTTGGGGCACTATTCCCATAAACATTTCACAAAGCATCAATGATTTCAAGCTTCACTATACATTTAATGTTTTTTTTCCTTGCTTCAATTTTTGCAGAAATCATGTCACTCTGAGAGAAGTTTTTTTCAAACTGATACGTATTCTTCTTAGTGCCTGAGTCTAGATCATATTCAGGCATGTTACAACAAGCTACTATGCATTTATTTTGGTGTAAACATTTTTGAAATTCATATGTAGTTTTTCATAATGCACATTTTTCATGAACTTTTTAAAGATCCCTTGGATGTCCTTGTGTAGACTCTGCTCTGTCACAAGACACCACTCAGGAGGGATCGAGGTTGGAACTCACCACACTTGCATAAGGACTCATTTAACATAACAGAAGAAAATTCTATTTCTAAGAATGGTCACATTCACAGGCATAAGAGTCAGGTCTTAGTGGAGGACACAATCCAGTCCATGAAAGGAAGTGTGGGTGAGTTTTGCAGATTTAGTAAAAAGTAGAATTAACTAGGTTAAAATAAAAAAGTATAAAGAAGCAGCAACAGCAAAATCTTGTTTTTTGAGGCAGGGACAATTTTCTAATTTGGTTTCTTAAGGGTAACTTGGTATAAGAAAGAAAAAAAACCCAAATTTAGCTTTATGATTTGAACATTAATACTGTAATACTGCCCCTTTTCCACCTCTTTATAAGGCAAGAGCTAAACTGTATACTTGTTAAAGCTTTATATATATATTGTTTTCACTTTCTCAGTCTGTTCCCTGTCTCAGACATTAGAGACCCCAAATTAGATGAAGTTGGAAGTATATGCATTCAACTACTCTAATCAAATGTACTCAGGTTTCATTTTTTACTTTTAGAAAAAGCGGTAGAGCAAAAACCATACTGATTACAAATATGATATTTGTTTTTTAAATTCATTTTCAGACATTCCTTTGCAAAATATTCTGTGGTTTATTTCAGAAATATTTAAATTGTTTTTAAATTTTAGAAACCCTTCGAAGTACTTCCTTTCTTCAAAATTAAAGCTTAAGTTACTCAGTTGCCTTCCATTCTTGTGCGTTGCCTTTATGTGTGTTATTTATGAAACTAAGCCTATTTATTGAGGGTCTGGAAACGAACCGTAGAAAGGTGAATGACGTTCCCCACATTGCATGGTTAGAAAGGCGCACAACTAACCTTGGAGCGCCATCCTGCCCGAATACAAAGCCAGACTCTTGCACCAATGCCATTCGTCCAGACTCTGATTCTAATTTTACCCTTTCACAGGAAATACTATGGAGAAAAAATCGGCATCTATTTTGTCTTTCTTGGATTTTACACAGAAATGCTGTCTTATGCAGCTGTAGTTGGCTTAGCTTGTTTTATTTATGGCTTGTTTTCCATGGAGAGTAACACAAGCAGGTAAGTGTAACTGAGTTGTCCAAACAGAGGGAAGGTGTCACAAACTTAGGCTCACTGCGGTTACTATTATTGTTTCCCTGGCATGTGTTTCAGAATGATTTCAAACTCGGCAGATAACTGATATTTCTATAGCCACAACTGTTTGGTATGCAAAAGTAGTAAACATAGCAATTGCTCTCACCTGCCACTTGGTGGAAGATTTGCTTTTCAAATCGGCTCGAACGATTCTGTTCCTCCAAGAATGGCTTGAGCTGCGGGGAGCCGCTTCCTTGTTGCGTACACTCACGTGGAACAGTCTGGTCAGCCAGCTTTTCTAGTAAGGACCGCTTGGGACTTTCCCACACACATGACTTGTGAGATAACACCACTGTTCTCTGCAGCAATGAAATCTGCCACCCTGAAATCGGAGGTCAGATCATCATGTGCCCACTCTGTGACAAACTGTGTGATTATTGGAGACTCAATTCTACATGTTTGGCCTCAAAAGTATGTATGCCTTGTGGTGTGTTGAAAAGACTTAGACTTCTCCTTTGTGTCACATTTAATACTAATTGATCTTGTGATCTTGTTGCTTTTACAGATCTCCCATTTGTTTGATAATGAGTCAACAGTGTTCTTTGCAATATTCATGGGGATTTGGGGTAAGTACATAGTCTCATGACAACCAATGTTTTTAGATTATAGGCTCACTCCTATGTTATATATTAATGGTATATATTATGTATACCAGTGATGGTGTGTGACCTAAAGTTTGGTTCCCAGAGATCTCAATTATAATCTCTGATCATTTCTGAGATACAACTTAAGTTAGAAACTTAAATTGCATCTAAAGCACACTGTCTCCCAGTGTCATGATGAAAATATTGTTCCATAAGTACTTAAAACTGATCATTGTTGGAGCGTAATCGATTATGGGTAGACACTGGAAGCAATATAGAAAATATTAAAAAATAAAAGTCAATATTAAAAAAAGAAACTATTGAGAGTGTTTAAGTATATTTTCTGTGTTTCTTTCTAGTTCTAGGTTTCAGTTAGATTTTTAGATAGCCTTTCATATAAAACGTAGTTCTCCTGACATTTAGAAATGCCCCAGGATTCACCTTTTTCATTTCAGAAATGAAGTGGAAGGGTCATAAAGTTTATACTTTCACCGATGAGGACAGTAGTGACTGCTGTAAGAGTAACTCAGCAAGGGCAGACCTCTAAACTGGTCTAAAATGTGCCCCAAAGTGCAACATGCTTTTTCTTTCCACTTCAAACTAACCTTTGGGACAACCAACTCTCCACGAGCCAAAGAACGAAGCGGGACTCATGCACAAAGATGAGCTCCATATAGTAACGCCTTTCACCATAGGTGAACATTAAATAAAATGGTTCTATGACCCAAATAGAAGAACTGACGCCATAAATCTCTTAGGACAAAACATAGTGATACTAATATAGAACCTAGTTCTTGACAACAAAATCACAGATTAACTGAACTTCATCAAAATAGAAAAAAACATATGCACTTCAGAAGACTACTAAGAAAGTGACTACTAAGTACAGAATGAAAAAGTACTTGGTCATCGTGAATCTGGCAAGGATTGCTATCTATGATATAATAAAAACTTCTAACAATGTAAATCAACATTACATTAAACAACAACACAATTTATAATTGGGCAGATAACTTGAATGGACATTTCTCCAAAGAATGCATGCAAATACCAGTAAAAATACGAGGAGGTGCTCAGTGGCATCAGTCATTAGGGAAATGCAAAGCCAAGGCGCAATGAGAGACCATTTCAGGCGAATCAAGTGACGATCGCCAGTAGAACAGGCACTCGCACGTGCTGGCACGGGTAGGGAGAAAGTGGAGCTGTCCTCTTTTGCTGTCTCCTTTGCTCCCTGCCATCAAGTCCATGCTGACTCACAGCGAGCCTAGAGGGCAGGGTAGAACTGCCCTTGGCAGTTTCCAAGACTGAAACTCTTTACTGGAGTAGAAAGCCCTGTCTTTCTCCCAAGGAACAAATTTAGGTTTGGCAAAGTGGTGTATGAACATCTCTTCATCATGAAGCTGCCAAATCAAAAATAAATGATTAAAAAATTCAGAAACAGATACTGGTCATTGTAACACAATTAATGCCACTGAATTATCAATGTAAAAAATGTGAACATTTAAAATTGTATGGGTATACACTAAAATACCCACCACTATGAAGCCCATACCGACTCACAGCAACCCCATAGGACACACCAGAACAGCTCCTTTAAGAGAGCTTGCTAGATTGCAAATCTTTACAGTTGCACACTCCCTGGTCTGTCTCCTGAAGAGATGCTGGAGGTTAGTGGAGTATCTACTGGGCTGGGACGCATAAGGTCAGCAGCTCAAAACCACCAGCCACTCCACAGGAGAAAGGGGCTTTCCACTTCCACAGGTGCAAGCACTTCTCCTCTGCTCGCCAGGCTCGCTATGAGTAGGAATCGACTTACTGGGATTCCTCGTAAATGTTTTGTTGTTGTACTGGTTTGTATCTTAATTAATTTTTGTTTTGGTTTGGTTTGTATCTTAATTAAGCTCTATGGAAACAGAACTTCAGGGACATTTATGTTAGCATGACTCTGATAAACAATTGAGCCTAGTTGAGGGATGTGTTTGTTTGTAAGGTAGTTACTAGTAAAAATAATGCAGATGACAAAAGAACAACATCAGCTGAGGGCTGAACTCTGAAAATAGAGAACACTGCAGGTAGCAGTGCTTTGTGTGCTTCCTCCCCTCTCCCACTACCATGACTCGAATTTGACCTTGCAAGTCTGGCTAGACCAGAGGATGTACACTGGTACCGATAGGAACTGAAAACACAGGGAATCCAGGGCGGATGAGCCCTACAGGACCAGTGGTGTGAGTGGCAAAACAGGGAGGGTAAAGGGAGAATGGGTAGGAAAGAGG